AAATAAAATCTTCCAAAATTGAATCAGGAAGAATCAGAAAACCAAAATAGGCTAATACAACTGATGAAATTGAAGGAAGCAGTAATTAAAAAAACTCTAAGAAACAAAAGCCCTGGTCCAGATGGCTTCACAGGGAAGTTTTACCAAACATTCAAAGAACTCCAATACTCCTCAAACTATTCCAAAATATCCAGAGGAAAGAACATTTCCAAGCTCTTTTTATGAGGCCAGCCTTATCCTAATTCTAAAACCTGATAAAGACACCACAAAGGAAGAGAATTATAGGCCACTATCTCTGATAAACATAGATACTAAAATCCTCAACAAAATATTAGCAAATGAGGTCCCGCAATATATTAGAAAGATCATTCACCATAACCAAGTGGGATTTATTGCAGGGATGCAAGGGTGGTACAATATTTGCAAATCAATAAATGTGATGCATCACATAAACAAATTGAAAGAAAAAAAAAAACACATGAAGAGCCCTGGTCTATGTTGTACAGTAGTTAGAGCATCAGACTACGCACCAAAAGATCAAGGATTTGATTCACAGTCAAGGGCATGTACCTGAATTGTGAGTTCACTCCCTGCCCCCAATGGGTGCACATGTGGGAAACATCCGATCGATGTGACTCTCTAACATTGATGTTTCTCTGTTTCTCTCTCTCATCTTCCCTCCCTCCCTTCTACTCTCTGAAAAGCAATGGAAAAAATATCCTCAGGTGAGGATTTTAAAAAAAAATCACTTGATCATATCAATAGACATAAAAAAGAATTTGACAAAATCCAAAACCACTTATGATAAGCACTCTCAGCAAAGTGAGAATAGAGGGATAATACCTCAACATAATAAAGGCTACAGTAGTATATGACAAACCTATAGTCAACATCATACTCAGTGGGCAAAAAATAAAACCATTAGTCATAAGAAGAGGAACAAGACAGGGATATCTACTTTCACTGCTCTTATAATACTGGAAGTCCTAGCCACAGCAAACAGGAAGAAAAATTTTTTAAAATCCGCATTCGAAAGGAGGAAGTAAAACTGTCATTATTAACAGATGACATGATACTGTATATAGAAAACCCCTAGAGACTCCACCAAAAAAACTACTAAATTTAATAAAGAAATTTGGCAATGTATTATAGCAGGATACAAAGTTAACACCCAGAAATCAGTGAAATTTCTTTCTTTTCTTCTTTTTTTTTTTGTTTTGTTATTATTAACCTTCACCCTAAGGATATTTTCCCATTGATTTTGAGAGAGAGTGAAGTGGAGGGGGAGAGACAATGATGTGAAAGAGACACAGTGATTGGTTGCTTCCCACATACCCTCGACCAGGCCCCAGGAGTCTGCAACTGAGGTATGTGCCCTCTATCAGAATTGAACGTTGGAACAGTCATTCTGCAGCCCTCTATCCACTAAGCCAAACTGGCCTGGGCAATCGATGGCATTTTTATACACAAAAAGAAACTAACAAAAAAAAAATCCATTTATAAATATAACCAAAAAATTCAGAAACTTAGGGAAATAATCCTAGCAAAGGAGATAAAAGACCTGTACTTGGAAAACTAAAAGATGTTGAAAAAAGGGATAGAGGAAGATGTAAGCAAGTGGAAAAATATATCATTTTCATGCATTTGTAGAATTATCATAATTAAAATGTCTATACTACCTAATGCAATCTATAGATTCAATGCAAACCCCATTAAAATACCAACAACATATTTCAGAGACCTAGATCAAATACTTCAAAACCTCATATGAAACCAAAAAAAGACCTGAATAGCCCCAGCAATCTTGAAAAAGAACAAAGTTGGAGGGACCACAATACCAGATATCAAGCTCTGATACATAAAAACATCCTGATACTGGTACAAGAACAGACATATAGAACAGGACAGAGAACCCAGAAATCAACCCAAGCCATTATGTTCAATTAATATTTGACAAAGGAAGAAAGAACATACAGTGGAATAAAACAGTCTCTTTAATAAATGGTGTTGAGATAACTGGACAAGTACATGCAAAAAAATTATACTAGACACCAACTTACACCTTACACAAAAATAAACTCAAAATGGATAAAATACTTAAACATAAATTGCAAAACCATAAAAATTCTAGAAAAAATCATAGGCAGCAAAATCTCAGACATTTCTTGTAGCAATATATTTGCCAATATATCTCCTATGGCAAAGGTGACAAAGGAGAAAATAAACAAATGGAATTACATCAAACTAAAATGCTTATGCACAGCATAAGATACCATCATCAAAATGAAAAGGGAGCCAGTATCTGGGAGAACATATTAGCCAATAATACACCTGATAAGGGGTTAATTTAAGAAAATATATAAAGAACTCATACAAGTTAACAAAAGGAAGATAAAGAATTCAATTAAATGGACACTTCTCCAAAAAGGACACATTAATGACCAATAGATATATGAAAAAATGCTCAAGGTCACTAATTATCAGAGAGATGCAAATTAAAACTACAAAGAGGTAACAACTCACACCTGCCAGAATAGCTACTCTCAATAAATTAGCAAACCACAAGTGGTGAGAATGTGGAGAAAAGAGAACCCTCCTTGTACACTGCTGGTGGAAATGCAGCCACTATGGAAAACAGTGTGGAGTTTCCTCAAAAAATTAAATATGGAATTTGACACAGTAATCCCACTGGGATAAATTCTAAGAATCCTGAACCATCCATTAGAAAGAATATATGCAGCCTTATGTTCATAACAGTAGCTAAGACCTTGAAACAGTTAAGTGCCCATATGTAGATGAGTGGATAAAAAAGTTGTGGTGGTGGGGGCAGGTAAAGGTATATGGGGAAGGGTTGGGGATACTGGGGGGAGGTTAAGAGGGGGAAAAGGAGATATATGTACTACTATTTGTAATGCTTCAAACAATAAAAATAAATAAATAAGTTATGGTACATTTACTAAATTGAATATTTTGCAGCAGTAAACAAGGATTTTTTACCCTTTCAGACAGCATGGATTATTATGGTAAATTATTATGGTAAGGGAAATAAGCCAGTTAGAGAAAGACAAATATCATGTGACCTAACGTACATGTGGAATCTAATGAACAAAATAAACTGACGAATAAATTATGTCAGAGAAATGGATGCATGCAATAGACTGACATCTCAGAGGGTGGCGGTAGGTGGGGTGTGTGATTAACCAAAGAACAAATATGAATATATGCATAGCCCATGAACATAGTATCACGGAGAAGGCCTGGGTGGGACAAGGGCCAGGTGGAGGGGGACGATGGGAGAGGGGAAATTGTGGACATCTGTAATACTATCAATAATAAAAATAATTAACAAAGGATACAATCATCTGTGATAGCTACTATATTGCCCCCATTTAGGAGGTGAGTTAAATGCAGTACCTGATTAAGCAAGTTGTCTTATGTGCTAGGCCACCATAAAAAACAACCAAACAACAGAAAACACTTCGAATTTATTTTATATGTAACATAACCCGGGTTTCTAGTCTTGTCTCTGATTTAACCTAAGGATTGCCATCCTCATCAGGAGTTAGATTTTTGTGACTTTAGGTAACAGCTCCTAACTTATCTAGTTGTGTGTTTGAACTGTGCTTGTACTTCCATGAGCCTGAGGGAAAGCAAGGTTATCAGGCACTTAGACGCGGGAGGATACAAAAGACTTGAAATACTAGCAGAGTTCCAACATTTTTTTCCCTTTTCTTTTCATGCTTGAGTCTTTATTGAAATGTAAGCAAGAATATTGCTTTTCAGGGTGAGACAAAAAAAAAAAAAAAAGGGGTTTAGATCAAACAAATAAAACGTTATGTAATAATTAATCTATGGCTAAGATTGGCAGGACAGAACAAAATCTGCACAAGTCAAATATACCAAAAATGAGTAGCAAGTAAATTGTAAATCATGTCACATCCAAAAATGCTTTCTTTACGAAACAAAAAGAAACTGATATTTTATTCCACAGAAGAATAACTTGGCTGATGAATACAAGTACATTTAACAGAAACCCTGAGCTTATTATTCTCGGTTTAAACGGAAATTCCTTGTCCATAATCCCCAGTTGTGGGGTAACCTAGACAATATCAGACAGGGGCAAGAAACCAACCAGCACACAACACAGCACTGCCAAGGTTTCAGAACGTGCGCAAAAGCGAGTGGAAAACTCGGTTCTCGCGAGAGTTCTACAAAACAAAGACAGGTCCCAGCACGCACCGCGGCTGAGACTACAGATCCCAGCATCCAAGGCGCACACGGACAGCCAGCCAGACTACATTTCCCAATATGCTCTCCTGACAACGGGTCGCCCCCTCAGTGTGGGGGTTTTCTCAGTCCTCTCACTCGCTCCAGACTCTCGTTAGGGTCTAGGGGTCGGACAGTGTTGCCCACGAGTAAACCAGGAAGAGGACGACTTTTCGAGTCCTTGATCGTTGTCCGCTGGGTTAACAGCGAAGAGCCGGGGCCGGGAGGGAGGAGGAGGCGTGAGCGGGCGGCCAGGCCGGCTGAGCCAATAGCTCGGGAGCGGCTCTCCCGCGCCATGGCAACGGCGGTCATCCCTGCGGGGCCCCGGGCCCCATTGGGTGGAATCTTTCGAGAAGGCTCGAGAAGAAGGAAGCGGAAGTGGCACGTGGAGGGGCCGGTGGAGGCGCCGGTGAGTAAATGCCGCAGATTCTGGAAACTTCTGATCAGTGCGATACATAAAGCTGAGGAGCTGAGGCCTCCCCTTTTGGGTCGGTTCTGGGGCGCGCAGCGCGGAGCCAGCAGCTGCGGAGCCAGCGGAGGAGGAGCCGGAGCGGCCGCGGAGACTCGGCGCCCCTGCCTCCGGTGAGCCCTCTGCCAGCCGCCGCGGTCCCGGGGAAGCCGGGCGCCCAGTGATCGGGAAGTAGTCGGACCCGCGGGAGCGCGCGCCGCGGCCGGAGGAGCTGCCCGGGACCCGGACCCAGACTCGGGGCGCAGGAGGCGCGCAGCCAGCAGTCATGTCGGTGGTGGGGCTGGATGTGGGCTCGCAGAGCTGCTACATCGCGGTGGCCCGGGCCGGGGGCATCGAGACCATCGCCAACGAATTCAGCGACCGGTGCACCCCGTAAGTGGACCCTGCGGGGTGCTGGGCGAGGGCAGGACCCGGAGCGGGCCGGGGCGCGAGGGGCCGGGAGCAGCTGGCCGGAGCGCGGGCGGATGGAGCGCGGCGGGGTCGCTGTTCCGCGGGCGGGGGCCTCGGGGCGCGGCCGACTGGACCTGCGCAGGCCGGGCTGTGGTGTCGGAGCCGGTGAGGGCGGCCCCGGGGGCCGCGGGTTGAATCGCCCCGGGGCGCCGGCGGCGGCGGCCCGCGCTGGCCTCCCCGCGGAGCTGCAGCTGCGCCCCCGCCGCGGGCGCCTTCTTCCCGCCGCGAGTCTCCGGAGGAGCTGGAAGCTTCCAGAGCCCGTCCGCCGCCCCTGCAGATCCATCCACCCTTTCCCGCCCGCTCTCCCGGTTCCTCCGGCGCTGTCCTCTGCCTGGCTTCACTTGGAGGATGGGAACGTCCTTTTTGCTCGTTTTATGAAAAAGGAATCCTAAATCTTATTCTAATGTAGTTATTAAATTTCCCCAGTTTAAAGAAGATAAAAGTAAAAATAGCCTGCTTTTGTGCTAGAGGGCTAGAACTTAATAAGATGGGAGTCGTTACTGAATTAAATGTTCTATTCACCAGCGGCGTGGGGTGGGCAAGGGGTTACCTTTTAAATAAGCCATCCCGGGCTTATTTTCTGAAGACAACATGCTTACATGTGTTAATGGAAACAGCTGCTTACATTTCAGGGAAAGTAACGGAGGTGGTTCTTTTTAATGCTTTCATTTATTTTCAAATGCCTTATACTCAAGATAAAAGTCGTAGAATGAAACATTGAACGGAAAGGTAAAATGGGCTTGTATCACTAAGTGGAGATGAACATTTATGAAAGTTAATGGAAAAATCAAAATAAGCAAATACTTGACAACACTAGCAGCACCGGGAAGACTTTATTCCCGCAGCACACGCGGGGCCCCCCTGTGGAAAGCCCGTGTGTAGCGAGGCGAAGGGTCCTTCATTGGAGGACAGTGAGGAGGAAGAGCCTCTCAGGCCCCCTGCCTGAGTGCAGTTGACATCTTTGTTCTCTTTGATCCCTATAAAAACTGAAGGTAGGATAAGAATTGTTTATGTGCCTTTAGTGACCACTGTGAAACTAAAGACAACAGGTAGGGCTCTCAAAACTAAACTGAGGGCAGTATTGGAATTTCCTTTAATGTTTTTGTTACAATAGATGTTTGATTCAACTGCATTGGCAACTGGTAATTTTCTTTTTAATATAATTAATTTGATTTTCCTTAGAAAATGAGTAAATGCATTCTGCGAGTGTATAGTTACTTTGAATTCAGAATGTTTGGGAAGTTATTTTAAAAGCTCTATTTTTTTGATTGAACACTTCCCTAGTTTTGGGGATGTTACATGACACCTGCTCAGAAAATCTAGGTGTAGGATGTCTGTGTTAGAGCAAATTTAAACTTGATTTAGCCTGGTGCTCAATACCCTCAGTATGTTCCCATTTTGTTCATCTTTACCATTACAACTACCTGCTCTGGAACCTGAAACCTAATTCACCTACAGACCTCCTTGTGACTGTGTGTGTGTGTGTGTGTGTGTGTGTGTGTGTGTGTGTGTGTGTGTCCGCTCTGTGCCACTCTATTTCCCGCGCTGGAAGGCACTCTCATAATTATGGGTCACTTTTCATCTCTTCAAGGTGACAATGTAATTGGTTCTTCACATTTATACTCAGTTTTGCTGTGGTACTTCTCTGTATTATTTTTACTTGGCTTCGAGTGGAATCTTCCATGAATGACCCTCTTTTGTGCTTATATACCCCAGAAGAATAACTTAGGCCCACTTATGTGGGTTTATAGAAAAACTTGTGATTCTAAAGAGGCAGATGTATTATCAGGACAGCAGTAAAAGTAACAATGCTATTTAGATTTGTACACTTGGTGACTGAGAAGTAGAGTTACACCATACTTTTTGTTAAGCTTATATCTAGGGCCAAGTTAATAATACCCTTTATTCGAAGCATTTTCAGAACCTTCTAGTAATGGGGCTTGGAGAATTGAAATGTGAAGTAAAACTACACATGGAAACTGTCCCCTGAGCTATGGGCAGACTTATTTTTTGGGGGGTTAGAGGAAGGGAGTAGGACTACCACCTAGGTTGGATTTTCAGTAGCAGTTAAATGGACAGACCTGTACCCGCTCTGAGTATTGAGCAAAGTTTAGACTTCAGAGTTGTGCTACATTTGTTCCCCTCCATGGGTAGGAACTTTATGTTAGATTTTATCTCTTGTCAGCTAAAAATGTCCACATTTTTAAAACACGTTTTAAAAATGTTTTTATATTTTTTATAGATCAGTCATATCGTTTGGGTCAAAAAACAGAACAATTGGAGTTGCAGCCAAAAATCAGGTATGTTCTTTAAGAGAATTCTGGTCAATTTTTAAGGGGAAGGTTTTAAAGGTGAAATCTCAAGGACATGCAGGAATGTGAAATACCTAAGCCTATCTGTTGTTGAATTTTCAAAATGTAATGTATCTTTATCAGCCCTTACTTATAATGGTTATTTTTTCCTTCTGTTCCCTTTTTGTCTTATTGAATGAGAGAATAAGATCTGCTTTTACTGTCTAATCTGCCAACCTTAATTTTTAGTAACTTCACTACCTTCTAACTTACGTAATTTGTCAAGTTTCGCATAATACTCATTTAAGAATTAAAAGTTTCTTCTAAAATTTCTGTGTTTAAAAATGTTTTCAGGTTACTTAATATTTAAAGTATGACTGGGAGAACTTTTTGTCTAAACCATGCTCTTATATTGCAGCTATTAGCTACACATGCCTGCTGAGCACTTGAAATGTGCCTAGTCTGAATTGAAACACACATGAGATTTTGAACACTTAAACCGAAGTATCTCACCGATATTTTACAAAATATCTCACCAATATTTACATTACATGTAGAAATGATAGTATTTTAGATGTATTAGGCTAAATAGCTATTGAAATTAATTTCACCTGTTACTACTTAATGTGTCCAGGAAATGTACATCTGTTCTTCCCTCTTAGGCCTCATCTTATAACTCTTGGAGTTCTGGGCGGAAAATACAGGAGAAAAAAAAAAATGAAACGCCTTTGAGAGGCTTTAAGAGAGATACTGAAACATTCTTTTTAAAAAAGGAAACAGTATTGCTAAAAAAAGAAATAAAATTCAAAACCCTAGAATACTATACTATGGTTATTTGGAAGAGATAACAAGACAAGAGATAAAAAGTAAAGGAGAGAAGAGAAATAGGTATGCATACTCAAAAGGAGAGAGACACTTCTATTGCATTTTTGTGGTTATGTGAGGAGAATCAATTGAGGCTCAGATCTGACCTGTAGATTATTAGACATTCTTTATCTCAGTTATAGAATCAAAGGAGTTTTAGATTATAAATTTGCTTTTACTTCTATTGTTTGGAAATAAATGCTACCAAGCTGTATTTCTTCCTTTAAAAAAAGGAGGTCATGCCGAAGCCGGTTTGCCTCAGTGGTAGAGCGTTGTTCTGCGGACGGAAAGGTCCCAGGTTCGATTCCGGTCAAGGGCATGTACCTTGGTTGCGGGCACATCCCCGGAAGGGTTGTGCAAGAGGCAGCTGGTCGATGTTTCTCTCATCGACGTTTCTAGCTCTCTATCTCTCTCCCTTTCTCTCTGTTAAAAATCAATAAAATATATTTAAAAAAAATAAAAAATAAACAAAGGTCAGAGAAAAAAGTAATTGGTGAACTGTTTTGGTATTTTTGACCTGATAATTTATTTCTTAACCTTTTATTTTAATTACTTCTATATTTTAAATAAGATTCTTTCTGCTGGTGTGTTTGCATGAAACAATGTTGTGAAGTGGGACTTCTTAATCCAGAGCCTAATCATAAAAAATATGTACATGCATTTGAAAGTATTAGGTCATTCAGAAAGTTTTGAATTTTCCTTGCCTCTTCTGGTTTTTGGTATAGATAATTAGCATTGCATGCTAATGGTTGGAAAAGTAGCAATCCAGGTATTTTGTGCCACATATGTTTATTCTGGCCACTTAACAATTTATTAGATTATAACAATGAACCCTTTATTTAAAAAATGTAATTTGACTATAGTACATCTAGATCTTATTTATCCATTCAATGGGTAGAAAACAAGTTTAGAGAAGAGCAAGAATGAAATGAAGTACAACTATATCTTGCATATTTTGAAATCTGTTTTAGTCTGTGGTGACAGTACTGCCTCTTGTTTCATCTCACTGCCTACCTATAGGAAAAGGAGAAAGAATAAAGTCCATTCATTGATGGGGAAATTCAGGGCTCTGGGAAAGTTACTTATAACCACATGGTTTGAGTTCTACAAGAGACTTTTTGTAAAATGGTTTTAAGGACTAATATTAATAGATGTTGAAATTAGAAAATAATTTAAAATCTCTGATTTCTTGTGCAGCAAATCACTCATGCAAACAATACAGTGTCTAACTTCAAGAGATTTCATGGCCGAGCATTTAATGACCCCTTCATTCAAAAAGAGAAGGAAAACTTAAGTTATGATTTGGTTCAGATGAAAAATGGTAGCGTTGGAATAAAGGTAATATAATTGAGCAACTTATTATCTTAATAGGAAACTAACTCATCTATAGAGAATGGTACTTAATTCTTAATGAAAACTTGCTCTCATTCCTTAATTGTACAATATAGTCTTTTCCTTTGTTTTCTACTTAGCTTCTTTTAAACTTTAGGTATATCTTTAAATTGTCTTTGAAAATTATTCAAACAATTTATACAGCTGTAACTTAATTTATGTTTCTTATAATTTCCTGACAATTGTAAAATTTAGTGGTGCTTAAAAATCCTAAATTGTGTTTTCATGTCAAATAAAAGTCTGTCCAGTGCAGCCCAGTTACATTGTTTGGAGCGCAACCTTGTAACATTACCAGAAATCTTTTTTTAAACTTGCAGAAGCATTCCCATCTGATGATCTATTACACAAAATAATATTTAACCCAGTGGTTCAGATCTTTAGTTAGAGTAGAAATTTGCTGCCTTCCATAATGTTTTGACTAGTACTTTGGGTAGGGAAAATCTGCTCTAGTTTTTATTTTCCTCTTCATCAGTAGGGGAAAAAGTTCTTTCTTCCTTTTTTTCTTTGCTTCTCTTTCCCTTCCTTTTCTTTTCCCCTAAACAACTATAACTATAGAGATTTTCTGGAAGAGATTATGTAATAATATTTGGGAGTTAATATTAGCAGGTAACTTTAACTTCCACTAGTTAAAACATTTTCTTACTTCAATATAGGTAATGTACATGGATGAAGAACATCTGTTTAGTGTGGAACAGATAACAGCCATGCTGTTGACTAAGTTAAAGGAAACTGCTGAAAACAACCTCAAGAAACCAGTAACAGATTGTGTTATTTCAGTAAGTAAAATTCTGCAAGGCAATGTGTCTTATTTTAACCTGCTTTATGTTACTCTCAAGTATAATACAATTTGAAAGCAGTTCTATTACTAAGGATCAAAATTCTATGGGCCTTGTTAGCGTAGTCTGGATTATTTCAGAGGAGGTTTGAATTGTATTTTTAGCCAGAAGGTGCAAAGGTTCTTGAGATACAAATAAAAATCTCCCATGAGGCTTTTTGAAAATACAGACTGATAAGTAGAATGGGGGAGATAGTTACTTCACTGTTAGATAAGTTGTATACATACATAAGAGCTTTTCTAAATTCAATCCTCAAATTGAAAACCAGTGAATTAGAAGTTTTAAAATGTAACCTACCAGTAGTGACAAAACCTAGATTTTCAGCACTAGCCAACATATTACCTTCAATGGACAATTGATAAGTTATCAAGGAGTATTTGAAATGGACAAAGGTCACCTTTTATTTGGGCACCAAAAGAGTAGTTTTAAATTCTGTTCTCCCAAATGTCTAGGGTAACTTTATGAACTCTTCCCCAGGACTTACCTACACCATGATCTTTGTGTGATTGCATAATTTGGGTGGCTTTCCCAGACTAGTCAGAACCTTTCTGGCAGTATATTCTAGGATATGAAAGAACAGAGAGAGAGCGCGCGCTAAAATTTCTTCTCTTGCTCTTGTAAGATAGAATATGATCTACCACAGGGTTGTCTGCCTATTGCTTGGAGAAATTACATTAATTTCTTGTAAAATTAAAGAATCTATATATATATATATATATAAGGCTAATATGCAGACTGTCCCAGCGGGAGAGAGACTAGGAATTCTATCGCACGCTATGATGTGTGCTGACCACCAGGGGGTGGCGTGCAATGAAGGGAACCCCTGGCAGGCAGCCAGAAGGCCCCGATTGCCTTGTTCATAGGCCAGTCATAGAGACCCTACCCGTGCATGAATTTCTTACACTAGGCCTCTAGTTAAATTATAAATCAGTGGTCCTTCCTTTTTTATTTTTCTTTAACTTGATAAAAAAAAACTGATGAAAGCAGTGTTCTGATTTGAAAGGTGAGCAGAGACCCACATTAGCTCTTATCTTTGTCTTTTTCTGAACCATCTACAAATACTTTGGGGAAAAATGTGAAAGCCACCAAGTCTTATGTACTTTCTAGTTAAGTGCTTCTATGTTATATGATCTTAAGTATCCTAGTTAAATACTGTCCTAGAAAAGTGATAAAAATAACCTAGTTAGAGGCGCCTCACTCAACGCCATAAAAAACTCCATCCTTTGATAAGTTTAGGACAATCTTTTCAAAAGTAAGTTACTGTTCTGAATGTTAAGAAACTAAGCCTAAAGGTCTATTTCTGGTTTATGACCTAGCTAAGGCACCTATGAATTTAGTAGAAGTTGTTATAAGGAATTTGTTTATATTCATGTGTTCTAAATATTTTAAAATTCTTTTCTTCCTTGTCTTTAGGTCCCCTCTTTCTTCACAGATGCTGAGAGGCGATCTGTATTAGATGCTGCACAAATTGTTGGTCTAAACTGCTTAAGACTCATGAATGATATGACAGCTGGTAAGCAAAATCTTTTTGTGTGGAGTGACTATAATACCATAACTAGAATTAAGACACATCAGAAACAATTACTAAACAATTTTTCACATCAATATAGAAATACAGTTTATTAAGTGTTAGGTTTGAAAGCACAACTTCAGCTTTCCAGATGCTTACATTTAATGAGAAATTGGTACTTTCTGAGATTTATTTATCTGTTTTCATTAGAAAATTCTTTTAAATACACACACACACACACACACACACACACAGGATGGAGCAAAAGTAGGTTTACAGTTGTGAGTACACAAAACTGAGTTATTCTTGTATTATTTATTGTATTAGTTTCCATATAAACAATTGTAACCTGTATATATTTATTTTTTGAATTAGTTGTGTTGGATTTAGTTTTTAAATTTTCTTAGATTGTTTTTATAGTTAAGAAACAAATTTTCTCTAAATCTTATGATTCTGGGTCTTACAACTACCTTGACTACAATTACTGGTAAAAAAAAGTTTTTCTCCTATATTTCCTGAATATATATGGTTAGGCATTGATCCTCTCAAATGCTAAGCTGTACCTTTTGCTAGGCATCGGGTTGAGGTGTGGTTGAGTAAAGTGGTCACTCTTACCTCCTAGAGCAGTAGTTCTCAATCTTTCTAATGCCACAACCCTTTATACAGTTTCTCATGTTGTGGTGACTCCCAACCATAAAATTATTTTCGCTGCTATTTTATAACTCTAATTTTGCTACTGTTGATGAATTGTAATGTAAATATCTATATTTTCCGATGGTCTTAGGCTTTACAGTAGCCCGCCTTCCTGATTGCTCCTAACCACTTCTGCCTGCCAACCTAATCACCTCCTACCACTCCCCTGCCAGCCTGATTGATGCCTAACTGCTCTCCTGCCAGCCTGTTTGCCCCTAACTGCCCTCCCATGCAGGCCTAGTCATCCCAACTGCCCATCCATGAAGGCCTGGTCACCCCTAACTGCCTTCCCCTTTAGGCCTTGTACCCCCTCTGTCCTGCAAGCCTGGGTCCCTGCCCCCAGCCGTTGTTCCCTGCAGGCCCAGTTGCATCCAACTTCCCTCTGCCGGCCTGGTCACCTCTAACTGCCCTCCTCTGTAGGCTTGATCCCCCACAACTGCCCTCCCTTGCAGACTTGGTCCCACCCACTTGCCCTCCCCTGCTGGCCTGATCACCCACAACTGCCCTCCCCTGCCTGCCATCTTGTGGCAGCCATCTTGTGTCCACATGGGGGCAGCCATCTGTGTGTTGGGGTGATGGGCAATTTGCATATTACTCTTTTATTAGATAGGATAGAGGCCTGCTACATGGGTGGGGGCCAGCTGGTTTTCCCTGAAGCGTGTCCCAGATCAGAGTGGGGGTTCCCTTGGGGCATGGGATGGCCTGGGCAAGGGGCCTGTGGTAGTCTGAAGGCCAGTCACACTCCCTGGCAACTCAAGTGAAGACCCTGGAATCTGGGATTTATTTATCTCCTATAATTGAAACTTTGTGGTCTTGATCAGAGCCATGTTTCCTGCTTGCTCAGTGGCCACAGCCATTTTTGTTGGGATTTATTTATCTTCTATAATTGAATCTTTGTACCTTGAACAGACACCAAGGCAAGCCAGGGCTGCGGAAGTTTAGCTTCCTCCATCACTAGGGGAAACTCAAGCCTTCTGCTTTCTCCAGCTCTGTGGCTGCCACCATTTTTGTTGGGATTTCTTTATCTTCTATAATTGAAACTTTGTAGCCTTGAGTGGAGGCCTGGGCTGGCCAGGGTGTGTGGAAAGCTTGGCTTCCTCCATGGCCGGGGAAACCCAAGCCTCCTGCTTGCTCTGTGGTCTCAACCATCTTGGTTGAGTTAATTTGCATACTCATTCCTGATTGGCTTGTGGGTGTAGTGGAGTGGTGGTTAATTTGCATATTGCTCTTTTAGTAGATAAGTAGATAAGTAAGGCTAAGTTGGCTTGTCCATGTGTAATACATACAAAGTTCTTGCTGGTGCCAATCACACTATTGTGTTTCAGTTTGTCATTGTTGATTGTGTATTTTGTTGACACTTCTATTACAGAGAAACAGTGAATAGTGAAATTAAAATATTTCTTCTAATTAATTTCCTTTCAGTGTGCACAAATTCGTGCACCAGGACACTAGTTATATCATAACAGTGAAATTCCTGAGAAACCTTGAATGAAAGAATTGAAACTCAGTTAATTTTTTTGTAGTTGCTTTGAACTATGGAATTTATAAGCCCGATCTCCCAGGCCCGGATGAGAAACCTCGGATAGTGGTTTTTGTTGATATGGGACACTCAGCTCTACAGGTGTCTGCCTGTGCCTTTAACAAGGGGAAATTGAAGGTAAAGTAAAAAATGGTAATTAAGTGACCAAAACCTATTAAGTGTTATATTTGTCTTTGCCTTAAGCTACTGAGCTTCTTGACTATGGTCTTGGTAATGAAGAGTGTTGGGTAATGTTATGAATAAAGAATTGTTCGCAAAGATGATGGCTCAGCATACTCCAATGCAGCGGTTGCCAACGGGTGGTCCACAGACCACTGGTGGTCCGTGAGGTCCAGAAGTTTGGCAACCACTTGTTTAAGGAAACTTGGATCAGCGGTTGCCAACCGGTGGTCTGTGGACCACTGGTGGTCGTGAGTTCCAAAAGGTTGGAGACCGCTGCTCTGATGTTCTTATTTAGGGAAGAAAAGTTTTTTCAGGTCACCTATGTAATCATAAAAGGTCAAAACTATTTTCGAGATAAGTATTTCATTTGAATTTTAGTTATATTTCTCCTAACGACTTAGATTTCATGTTATTATTTAGGGAGAAGTATTGAGCTTATTAGCCTTAAGTTGTTTGAGTAGGAATGTTTAACACTGTAGTAAAAAAAACATGGTTGAAAATAACCAGGTTGTTGTTTTAACTAAATTAGGTATTGGGAACAGCGTTTGATCCTTTCTTGGGAGGAAAAAACTTCGATGAAAAGTTAGTAGAACATTTTTGTGCAGAATTTAAAACTAAGTACAAGTTGGATGCAAAATCCAAAATTCGAGCCCTTCTTCGTCTGTATCAAGAGTGTGAGAAATTGAAAAAGCTAATGAGCTCCAACAGTATGGACCTGCCACTGAGCATTGAGTGTTTCATGAATGACCAGGACGTGTTGGGAAAGATGAACAGGTGCGTTCTGAAATCTGCAAGAGTAAATAGGAAGAGCTCTTTCTGGCTCAGAGCCCAGTGGTTGGTTCTGACTGTAGTGCTGTGTGTCTTGGCCCACAGTTGTGCACTGCCTGCTGGACAGACTGAACCAACCCCCTCAAAGCTAGGGCACTTCTGCAAAGATGTAATGAAAGTCTTTTTGGTATTTTTCACTTCTTAGTACTTCTAAGCCAGTAATTGAATAGTGGTTTCACCAAATATTTCACAGGAATATTTTCAAATCAAAGGAAATAAATATTTAGAGTAATGAGAATTGGATCACAGAAATCATTTAGAAGTGAAATGTCAATCTTTATGTAAAAGTGATTTTTCCAATAATACTCGGTAGAACTAATTTTTCTCCTCTACCCTCACCCCCTTTCTGCACCTGTTTCATATGTTTATATATTTTTTTAAAGTTGTAAATTAAGAGTTAAACTTGGGTGATTTTTAAAAAAGAAATTCACCAGGTTGATAGAATATATTGTTTAAAACAAGATATTGGTCTTTAGATAATTTTTCTAAGACTTAAAAAATGTTCCTTTTACTCACTAAGGGCACAATTCGAAGAACTTTGTGCTGAACTCCTGCAAAAGATAGAAGTTCCCCTTTATTCATTGATGGAACAGACTCGGCTCAAAGTAGAAGATGTGAGTGCTGTTGAGATAATTGGGGGCACTACACGAATTCCAGCTGTGAAAGAAAAAATTGCCAGATTCTTTGGAAAAGATGTTAGCACAACACTCAATGCAGATGAAGCAGTTGCCAGAGGCTGTGCATTGCAGGTACGCTTCCTAAGCCCTTCTCTTGCTCTCATGCCAGAACCTCTTCCACCTCATTGTATCATGGTGTGCCTAATTAGATATCAAAGGGGAGTTACTTTTAAATAAGTCCATAAGACTATAGGAAGAAGATGATCAAATGTAGAAGATCCAGGAAATTTAAAGGACTACAGAACTAGTGTTTCTCAAACTGGGGTTGAGAAACTACTGGCATGATTCCAGGGGTTCACAGAAAATGGCTGTTATGCAGAAATTAGCTGCAGGGTGTGGGGTGTCACAGTTGTTATAAAGCATATAGGAGTGAATTTGAATGGCAATCTGGTGTAATGCAGAATTGATGTGGGGGGAAGTTTGCAGGGTTAGGGTATTTGTTAACTGGTTTTAGGAAAAAGCTGCTCCCCCTTCAAATTGCTTTGAACCTGCTTATCAAGTAAGAAGGCAGCTCAGAGGCCTGATGTTTAACAAAGCAAAAGCACTAAATCTAGAAGTTAGTGATTTTAAAAAATTAATACTAGTTTATATTTAGGGCATAATAGTCGAATAGTTTTAACTAAAGTTTCAAGTTAATATGCTTGAGTTTTGATCTGTTTTTTTTTTGTATTTGCTTATTATTAATATATTTTTATTGATTTCAGAGAGGAAGGGAGAGGGGAGAGAGAAACATCAATGATGACAGAGAATCATTGATTGGCTGCCTCTTGCCAGCCCCACAGTTGGGATCAAGCCCTTGACTGGAATTGAACCCAGGACCTTTCAGTCCGCAGGCTGACTCTATCCACTTAACTAAACCATCTAGGGCAACATAGGTTTTTGTTTTGTATAAAGCAAGAGATTCTATGGAGAAAGCTATTTAGAAGGACTACCCTTTAAAACTTAAAAAAGGAAAGAATTTATAGCTATTTATTACTGGTTATCTGTTGTATCATCAGGAACCATTATGGGATTTTTATTTTAGTTTTTTCCTAAGGATTATGCCTCCTTAGCTAACATTCCCAGAAACCTGTGGGAAGTTTTTATAGTTGACATATGTTGTCAGCAATTTTGAATTTGAATTTAAGCTTATTCATCCAGTTTGAATTGAGTTTTGTTAAAAGGTGAATGGAATTATTCATGTACTCATGATAATTCTTCCTTTCTATCTTTCTTTTTTGAAGTGTGCAATCCTGTCTCCAGCATTTAAAGTTAGAGAGTTTTCCATCACAGATGCAGTTCCTTTTCCCATATCTCTGGTCTGGAGCAACGATTCAGAAGACACTGAAGGGTATGTATCAGAAAATAACTTTTAGGTAATGTGATTTAATCTAAAAGAATGACTTTTATGCTACTGTGTATAATTAATCTAACTGGGATTTTTCAACAACAAAATCATAGTATTTCTGTCATTTTGGTGTTATAAATGGTAGACTTGATACAGACTTTGGAATGTTCCTGTTGTGTTTTATGTAGCACAGTAAGCTTAAGTACTTGACATGCTAACTGCCTTTCCTTTCTCTAGTGTTCACGAAGTGTTCGGTCGAAACCATGCTGCTCCCTTCTCCAAAGTTCTCACCTTTTGGAGAAGTGGACCTTTTGAACTGGAAGCTTTCTATTCTGATCCTCAAGGCGTTCCATACCCAGAAGCAAAAATAGGTAAAGTGATTAACTGTGTATTTCCTCTTAAGATTTAATTTCATGCACAAACTTGAAACTTTTTCATATATTCTTAGCAGTTTTGCATGGAACATAATTCTAAGTGAAGGCATTTTCGCACTCACATTTATTGATAGGATAAGGCAATGGAGAAATATTTGTTTTATTGAGAATAAACTAGCCTACAGAGGTAAAATGACTTGCTAGTTAGTCCTGCTATTATGGATCTATATTTAAGAACATATAGGCATGTTTCCTATTCTGATATCATCTATATTTAAGGAATTACCACCTACTTTTAACATTAACCTTTCTATAGGTGAATTCCAATATAAAACCTGGCTTAGCAACCATTGACCTACTTCTCAAATGTACCTACATATTTTTAAAAGTATGTCTTTTTTGGTACATTTTTCTTGGAGAGGCTTGACACTGTACATCTGTTTTGACCCACAGTAACTCTAGAAGTTTTTTGGAGAGCCTCAGACATCTTCCTAAGCCCACAACTCAGGCATGTGCCCTGATTGGGAATTGAACCGTGACCTCTTGATTTTATAGGTTGACACTCAACCACTAAGCCACACCCACACTCTCCAGGCATAAATGCTGTTTTTTAATGGATCTTATAGCAATCATTTCCTGAACTAGTGTATTAATCATTAACGAAGATCTATTTCAACATCTCTCGCTGTAACTTTCTTGTGTTTGTGTAGATAGCACCTTCAATATCAAGGCTGTTCAGTACTATATAGCTCATTGCACATAGTATGTTCACACTACTTAAGTTTTATTTAGTAATCTTTGGAGTAACAGTACTACTATTGGTGGAGATGGTCACTGACAGTTCTTGGTTACATAGTTTTCCATGCTCACTATAAACATCAGTTTATTCCATAGAAGCATGTAAAGGCCGCTCATCACACAGCCAGGATTCGAGCCCGGATTATCTGGGTCAGCTTCAGCTTTCAACTCCTTAGTGTTCTAGAACTACTCTGTTGTGCATAATAATTTGAAGTTTTGATAAAGGTTTAGCTCACCTTACCTATTTAAAACCTAGAAAACTATTTTGATTATTCAATCAGAAAAAATACATTTTCTGAAAGCCCTGTAGATGAAAATGCAGCATGGTCTGATAACAATCAGTCTTTCACTTGCTAAAGGATTTTCACCTGTAGTTTGCGTTCACCTGCCAGGAGAATTAGGATGAGAGGAGATAGTGACTACTGATCATTATTAGTTTTTTACACATAATGGCTAGGTCATAAATGTTAAATAGAAACAGTCACAAATGTATCCTTGGCTTTTGGACATTTCACAGCATATTAAGATTAAGCCCAAATATTATAATTATACTGGAGGCTTGTCTATTTTAAGAGGTTATGGTTATAATATACATTAAATGGCTTAAATCTAATACAATTGGTGAAGAAATTGGGGAGGTATTGGAATAGCAATACTTTGAAGCTTTAAGTTCTTAGAAGCCTATGACTTTTTTTTTTTTGTTTTTAGAGAGAGAGGAGGGGAGAGGGAAAAACATCGATGTGAGAGCGAAACATCAGTTGGCTGCCTCCTGCTGGACCCCTACCAAGGATCTAGCTACAACCCAGGCATGTGCCCTGACCAGGAATTGAACTGGCAACTTTTTGGTGCATAGGATGGCGCCCAATCAATTGAGTCACACCAACCAGGATAAAGAAGCCTTTATCTTCTTTACAGAGATGTAGATTTAGTTTTTAAATTGTCAATTTATTTTTATTCAGGCCGCTTCATAGTTCAGAATGTTTCTGCACAGAAAGATGGAGAAAAATCAAAAGTGAAAGTGAAAGTGCGAGTCAACACACATGGCATCTTCACCATCTCTACAGCGTCTATGGTGGAGAAAGTCCCTGCCGAGAACAGTGAGCTGCCTTCTGTTGAAGCAGATGTAGAGTGTCTCAGCCAGAGACCTCCAGAAAACCCAGAGGCTGAGGTAAGTTTGGATGAACCTTTGAGTTTGAATACATAGTTGAGTTAATCCTGATCTATGAGAGAAGGGTTCAACTAGGTTTTGCTTAATTTTGCTTAGCTTTTTTTGATAATGATGATATTTCACAGTTGCTATATAATGTTAATATATAGCCTGGAATGTGGTGAATTGTGATTAACTTGAACCTGGCATATGACAATTAAAGTAATTTCTTTGCATTATTATTTTTATTTTTTATTTTTTTAAGCATAGATCACATATTGTGAAGTCAAATGTTGGCTGGTGATTAAGGAAAAGGGAAACAAAAACTACTACAAAAAACTTGGTGAAATATATACCAAATATTAAAGCTGTTTTGTTTTGTTTTTAATGTCAAAATTGGTTTTGGCAATTTAGAACTTACTTGCTTTTATTTTCATGGTTTGCTGTATTATGAGAGGAAGGAAAAAAAGTTTCTTTCTATAGCATAGAAAGTTGTTACTGGGAATGTTTGTAATTTAGACTTCCTTAAGCATGAGTGCTAACAGAGGACCTTTCAGAAACTTTAAAATAGATCAGCTATTAAGTTTACTTCTGGATAATAATCAGAAATCGCTTAAATGAAGGGCCAGGCAGTATAGTGTTTTAGTTAAGATTTGACAATAGTGGTCAGAGACCTCTTATTTCTAGAACATGTAGGAACATTAGTATCTGAGCCTTAGTATTGTTCTCATGTAGAAAAACTTCAGTACAATGAGTAAAATGACCAGGGCCGTGTTCTTTCTCATTTGGTTACAGACACCATTGTTCTAATGCCTGTTGTGTCAGTCTGTTGGGACCTTCTGGACATATCAGGAGTGCCTGGCTTCTGAACACTTTTTTAAAAAAAACATAGACCACATATTGTGAAGTCAAATGTTGGCTGTTGATTAAGCCTTAGAATCTCAAAGCTCTGACAGAAAAGAGAATCTTGAGGATGGAGCAGAAGGATGGAAGTCACTAACATGTAGCATATAATCTTTATTCTGAGGTCATTTGGTTGTAACTAGTCAGATGACAAGCGTTGGGGACAGAGGGATCATGATGAGCCCCTGAATAACTGATGGTTGGCTCTTTCATGTAACTGTTCAGTTTATTGAAATGGAGATTTGTCCACATGCATGGTGGCTTCTGGTTAAATTAGGTTTTGGAAGCTTTTCTCTGGGACAGGTCTGAGGTAAACCCATTTGCTTCCGAGAGTCAATATCTGTACAAGGCGAGGTGGAAGTTTCTTAATAGAGAGTTAGTGTCATCACATCTATTAAAATGCCTACTATTTGTGTTATCTAACTATCGATATATGAAGTGCTGTCATTCGGATAATTTTTATGGATTTAAAATTGCAAAGAAGTTTTAAGATATTTTGTGTTCATTTTGCTTTTATCCGGTCTCTTTCCCCACCTGTTAAGATTTCAGAAATTGAGCATACTGTTTCGGGTACCCTGTAACCTTTACATTTTCCAAGTACACCTGCTTTCTACATCCTTTGTGCCTGGGCTTTCATTTCAGAAAAATGTCCAGCAAGACAGCAGTGAAGCTGGAACACAGCCCCAGGTACAAACTGATGGTCAACAGACCTCACAGTCTCCCCCTTCACCTGAACTTACCTCAGAGGAGAACAAAACCCCAGATGCTGACAAAGTGAGTGATGCTTCTAGTTCATTCCAATGGACAATATTGCAACATGTGATCATTAATAATATTAAATTGCAGTTTCAGGAACAAGCACCAAATAGTCTTATTTAGTCTAAATAGGATTTTTTTTCTCCTGTCGATTTTCTATGTATTTTTCAGTGAAAACCAGATGAAGGTACTCAAGCTCAACTAAGGGAATTGAATATCCTGCTTTAGACCTGAAGGCTTCTCTTGTTTTATTGCCACACCAAGCAACAAGAGATGAACACATAGCATTGGTTGTCTTCTCTATTGCCAAAAGTACTGTGAAGAGCAGAAATAGATACATCCCGGGGCTGTGTGATTCGTTTCCACTTGATTAGTCTTATGATAAATACATGGGCCACAAGAGTCTAGTGAACTTTCTCCTCCTCTCAAGTCACATGTCAAATTTGAATAAATTAGGATTATCTGAAAATCAGATTGCTTTCCAAGTAATTGTTCATTTGCTCTGTTTGCACAGCATGTGTTGGAAGCTAAATTAAATAGTTGCGTTGTCTCTCTTTAAAAATGTCGTTTCCTAAACAAACCTTTAAATTTCATGGTCAGATAGATATTAGAAAGTTTCCTTTATCTCCATATCATTCTGTGCTTTTCAGAAGTTTATTCCTTATGCAAGTTGCATGCAAATTATTAACCTTCCATTAATGGTTTTGTTTTCTCATTGTGAATGTAGAATTCTTTACTTTTGATGAATTACAGGATTGTTCATTGGTGTCAAAATACGTTTTACATTTGGTGGAAGTTTCCAGTTATGAATGTCCTGTGTCCTGATTGCTCCTATAGGGGTCCCAACGTGAAGCATAGGTCCTGGTTCTAGTTTTTGAAAGCCTTCCTTGTTTTCTTCTGCTAGAGTGTTAATGGTGTCAGTGGAGCAGCACTGCTTTGTTTGTAGTAACAGCTCCTTGGTTTTAGCATCACTCCCCTTACTCACATTGACATTAACTGATGGTGCTGATGATGTTGACACCTATCTGGAACATGCCATTGGTAGCACATCATGCTCTTAGCTATAGGGGGAAGCACCAGTGTCAGGCCCTTTGGAACATTCTCACCCACTTCTTCGGAGGGTTCCTTGTTCATGCCACGTCAAATGCCATGTTGTGATGATAAATTGGTTTTGTCAGTAGTTGGTTTAATGTTGTATTGCCAGATACTCTTAACCGAACTTATCTGTCAGACACAGACTATCATCCATTCGTTTCCCGAACATCTGTTGTTCTCCAGCGTTTTGCTAAGTGTAGATATCAACTGATCCATTTGTTTGTCTGGTGGTCATGCCCCCAGAGGGTGCACATTATATTGGAGAGTTCTCCTGTGCACTAGAATAGAGGCAGACTGACTGGGTCATTGCTACTGACAGAGTTTACAGCAGTTCAGAGGTGTGGGATTTCTAAGGAGCACTGAAGTAGAAGTCTGGGAAATGAGAGTTCTCATCCCATCTCTGTCTTTGTAATTTTAGGCAAATAATTGAACTTTTTCAAGTCCCAGTTTTTTCTATAAACTGCCTAGAATTTTAATATCGTAATAGCTCCCCAAAGTTATCTATTGGCAGAGCTTTCTGTGTACTTGACCAAACCAGCCAACCAGAGTACATGTGATATATCTCCCTGGTTATCTTCCAATCTGTTTTCTACAAGTGAGAACCTGCAGAATTAGAAATACCCAGAAAAGGCTTGGAATTGGAAAATTAAAGGCCATAGGAGATGCTTACTTCTTTAGCCCTGTATTTAAATATATTGAAAAATCTACAATAAATTATTAGCAGTAGCTACATCATTCTATTTGCTATTTTAAGACATATTTCTTGACCATGGGAAGTTGCTTATGAGAAGTAATATGACTCAGAAGCAGGTAGTAGGGATAGGGATATATGTATATATACAGACAGGTATATGTGTGTAATCTCCAAATTCAGTAGAACATTTTGAAAGGCACTCATCAGTGTGGTGCTAATTGTAATCAAGCAGGTATAATATTGGGACATAAGGACTTAGGTATGTATATATTACAGAGATAGTGTTGACCTTAACATTGCTAGCATTGATCAGTCTGCAGTTATTGTCAGATTCTAGACTATAAAGATGCAGCAATTTAATAATATTTTTTACTCTTCAGAATCACAAATATTGCTTAAAGGGATGAAAAGATAAAGACCAATGGAGAAAAGCTTTAGCAGGAGAGATTAAGTTTAATATGAAAAGAAATGTATGGGTGAATTCCCAAATGAGAATGTGCCATGCTTATATGTCATTGCAGCCCTGATTAAAAACAGGCGGGTGGAAATCAGATAAGCTTACACCACTCTTCAATTTTATAGTTATGAGGATTTTATTTTTGCGTATGTCATCAGTATGATAAGGAGTTTTATTCGTTTTGTTTTTCAAGGATTCTTTAAGAATTTCTTTTTCTTTTTTTCCCCCTTCCTTCCCAAGGCAAATGAAAAGAAGGTTGACCAACCTCCAGAAGCTAAAAAACCCAAAATCAAGGTAGTGAATGTAGAGCTACCCGTTGAGGCCAACTTAGTCTATCAGCTGGGGAGAGACCTGCTGAACATGTACATTGAAACAGAGGTAGATACTTTCAGTAATTATCTTTACTTTAGAATATTTTTAGTTGTTTGGTCCTATTGTCCATATTTCTAATAAATGGCTGTAATCTTTTTTAGTATCCCAAGTTTTATACAGTTTTAGAGTTAGGATGAAACCAAAATCAGTGGCTTTTTAGTTTTTTTATTGATTGATTTTAGAGAGAGAGAAATAATAGATTTGTTGTTCTACTTATTTATGTATTCATTGGTTGATTCTTGTATGTGCCCTGGCCCAGGGATTGAACCAGCAACCTTCACATGTCAGGATGATTCTCCAACTAACTGAGCTACCTGGTGAGGGCTTAATTAAAATTTTAAACAAATTTTATGTTTTTTTATCTTTGTAACAAAAGAGATCTATACCATTCTGCTTGGTATAAAATTGATTCCAAGTCCTTATAAAGAAATTTGATGCCAGTATTTTCTAGCACTGGGCACAGTACAATTGGTATTTCAGGCCACATTGAATATTTCTGTTAAAACATGTGCTTTTCCATAGTCTAGAGTGTGTGAGATGATTAAGATTCATTTTTTTTCTGCACTCAGATAGGAACACTGTTTAAAAATTTAACAATAAATATAAGTAATTTATCCTTAATTTTTAAATATGGCAGAGTAGTCTGATCATTATCTATTGGTCAATATTAATTCCAAGATGAGACAACCATGTAACTCCATAAAAGAAGACAAAATAATATAAAAGCCATGAATTGTTTTTTTCACCTTAGTATTAAATCTCAAATGAGAAAGCTATGTAATGTTTTATATAATGTTAGAAAATGAAGAACTTTGTAGGGTTTGTTGTAAGTTATATGAGGTATAATTTAGAACTGTTAATACTAATTTTTTGGTACAATTTATTACAGATAATAGAAGGCTGGAATTAACCTTTCTATTCCCTTACAGGGTAAGATGATAATGCAGGATAAATTGGAGAAGGAAAGAAACGATGCTAAAAATGCAGTGGAGGAATATGTGTATGAGTTTCGAGATAAGCTGTGTGGACCATATGAAAAATTCATCTGTGAGCAGGTATGTTTAGAGTCTGGTTTTTATTCAGCTATAACGTGCTTAATATCAAATTTAGCGTTTGAACCTCTGCTAGATTATATAATAAGCTTTTTGGAAACAAAAAACTAGAAATAGAAATTGTATAAACAAAACCCCAGAGAGAGGCTCAGTAGTGGTGTACAATATTTCTATCTAGCTAATACCAAAGATTCTTTAGTTTTTACCATCTAGAAGAAAGAGCCAATCATATTCAGAGCCTATGACTTTCACAGTTACGTAGGCTAAAAAGATAAATTGAAAACCCTTGCTTTCAGAGACTCAAAAAAATTTTTATGACTAGCTTGCTCTTATTTATCTCAAAAATCTTGTTTATTCATTCAATCCAAAGTTTATCAGCCCCCAATCTCCTAAGCCCTTGTCTAAGCTCTCAAAGTCAGTAGACTTCTAAGTAAATCCCAGAAGCGCAATTGTTAAAGATGGGACTTGGAAAAAAGATGGCTAGATAGAGATTTAGGATGGTTGAAGGATTAATTCTGAAGTTAAAAGAATTTAAACTTAGAAGTCTATTTTAGTCCTAAGATTTTTGTGATATTTCAGTTCTCGTCTCTGCCCTAACATTTCCTAGATTGGTTATGGTGGTGATTCTGAGGTAGAGCTAGCCCAAACCTAAGGCTATTATAGAATAGCAGTACATAGTTTATATGAGTTGGATGGGAATGAGTTTTTCATGCTTGATTTGTCAGCTTGTCTAATTTGCCTTCAGTACTTGGTAGTTGTGGATGTGAATAGAAAGGTACTATCACAACTGAACTGTTTTTGAAGAGTAGGAAGATAATTGCTCTTCTATACTCAGATTTCAATGTGAAAATTGTCCATAATTAGACTTTGAAGATACAGTATTGTAAGTCAGTAAGTGTCAAAAATTCCCAGATGTCCCAGTGTAAAAGACAGAGAAGCCAAAGAATAACCGTAGATCCCTCATGGGAAATACTGCATGGAGTTGATAGTAGAGTACGTTGATCCTTCATACATTTTAATGAGGAGAATCCAATTGATCCATGTGCCTTCCTTGAAATAAAAGCAGGTACTTAGTGTTTAACATTTCTGACTATGACTCTTGGTCATGTTGGTTCTCATGTTTCACATATAGGACCATCAAAAATTTTTACAACTGCTCACCAAGACCGAGGACTGGCTCTATGAGGAAGGAGAGGACCAAGCAAAACAAGCCTATGTGGACAAGTTAGAAGAATTAATGGTAGGCCCTTCTTTCCCCTCTGAAAGCAGTGCCTGTGCTTTAGACTATAGACTTTTAAAACATGATGATGACAAATACTAATTTGTTACCTTTGTTTTAGAAAATTGGCACTCCAATTAAAGTTCGATTTCAAGAAGCTGAGGAACGGCCAAAAGCACTTGAAGAACTAGGTCAGAGGCTGCAGCACTATGCCAAGATAGCAGCCGACTTCAGAAAGAATGTAAGTCTATGTACCAGGAAGAGGGGATTGCAGGTTTTAATCAGCTAATAGTGAAGTTGAGGAACCTTTAGGATGAACAGATGTTTTTAAATGAGAAATTTGTTTTTGGCATTTGAACTTCATAGAAAGTTTTGTCAAGTTTATCAATGTTAAATATTTAATTCTGCTGAATGATCATGTTTTTTCCATTCAGGATGAAAAATATAACCATATTGATGAGTCAGAAATGAAGAAGGTTGAGAAGTCTGTGAATGAATTGATGGAGTGGATGAATAACGTCATGAATGCCCAGGCTAAAAAGAGTCTTGATCAGGATCCTGTTATACGTGCTCAAGAAATTAAGGAAAAAATAAAGGTGAGTGATATTGTATAATTATTGCTGTGTTTTCTTAAGGGCTCAAGTTACAATCACTTGAACCCTGAACATGGCCATTTTTTCCAATAAGTCTTTTACCTCCTCCTGACTAAAACCAGATTTCTTGGTTTAATCACAAAATTTAGAAGACTTTATAAGTGTTAAGTTTTCATTTTATTAATTTAGCTCAGCAAATGTATTTGTTCAGCCATGTGTCAGTCATTGTACCAGGTGCTAAACTTCCAGTGTACAAAGGAAATCCCTGCCCTGCTAGTGTGAAGAAGACTTGACAGTAAACATGTATGGCAGTATATGAGACGGTTTATAAAGTGCCAATGGTACAAATAGTTAGAAGGGTTAGGAAATTCTGGACAGTGGAGGGGACCCAAATAAAGGTTTTAACAGGGAAGTCCTTGCCAATTGCCTGAGGCTTGAAGGAAGTTGAGAGGGAAATAAAACAGGGAACTGCCTTCTTTCTCTCTGGAAGGATTTTCAGACACAGTAAAGATTACAGAAACAATTGCAGAAGCATGAGCCTTTGAAGTCAGTGGGCTACAATGAATTTCAGCTTTGGTTTTGTTTTGTTTTTTATCTTGAGGCAATTACTTTACCTCAGTGAACCATTTCCCCTTTCCATCAGTGGGTATCATAATTCCTACCTTTTCATACTATTGCAAGGATTATAATGTATGAATACTTAGCAAGTCCATGAAACATCATAGGATAATATTCACTTCTCTCTTCAAGCTATGGTTTTGAGCAAGTGTAATGAATAAATAAGATTCTTTGAGGTAAGTATAATTGGAGTTGATAGAAAAGTATTGGTTCAAGTATGTAGGAAAGTAGTTGAAAATGAACTAGATGGATCTAAGAGTCAGTCTGATTACTAGCTTTATTTTCCTTTTTTAGGAGTTGAGTAACACCTGTGAACCTGTTGTAACACAACCCAAACCAAAAATTGAATCACCCAAACTGGAAAGAACTCCAAATGGCCCAAATACTGATAAAAAGGAAGACGTTTTAGATCAAGGCAAAAATAATTTTGGTGCTGAACCTCCACATCAGAATGGTGAATGTTATCCTAACGAGAAGAGTTCCATTAATATGGACTTGGACTAGATAACATTAAATTGGCTTCATCCTTTAATAAAATATTTTTGCCATAGTATGTGACTCTATGTAACATACTGAGACTATTTATATTTTCTTTTTTAAGAATGTTTAGAACTTTTGTGTACTATATGGAAAAAGGAAAAGCTTAAGTCTGTAATCTTTATGATCCTAAAAGGGAAAATTGCCTTGGTAACTTTCAGATTCCTGTGGAATTGTGAATTCATACTAAGCTTCTGTGCAGTATTACCATTTGCATCACTGAGAAGGAAATTGACTTGTCTTTTGGAAAAGCTAAAACAAAGTATACTGCTTGTTCAAGAGGGCTGTGGGTAAAAACATTAAGCATTTGTTCCTGCCAAGGTAGTTTTCTTGCATCTTGCTCTCCATTTCAGCATGTGTGTGGATGTTTATAAACAATACAATCTGATTTCACAAGGGCTTTCTAAAATTCTGTCCAATAGAAGATGACTTTTTGCTTTGATATTATTAAAATGCATTGAGTAATGCAAGTGCTAGTGAAATGTGTTAGCAGCATGCAGAACAAATCTTTCAAATGTATCACTTGTTACACAGTGCACTGTCAAGTGGAGGTGTCAAATGGAAGAAATGTAGGTTGTGTGTTGCCGGTATTGTGAAACCTTTTATGAGCTTTAAAATAAAGTTCATCTATGGTATCATTTCTAAATGGTTTTGTCACTGGCTTAAAAATGGGGTTGGGGAGCGTGGTATAAACTATTATAGCAGAAATGAGGTCACTGTGGAAATCACTTTCTTTTTTGCTGCTGCTGATATATGCTACCTCTTTGCTAAGCGAAAATGACTTTCTACTGATAGAAAACTAGCATATGTTTATCACATTTAAAACTATAAAGTTGAACATAATTTATAATCCACCACTCAAAAAAGTATTGATTTTTTTTTGCCTATCTTTGAAGCCTCCTAATGATTGGGGTCTGTGTCAGTGTGGGTATTATGTTATAGTGTTGTATAATCTGCTGTCTAAAACTATCCCAGACAAATAAGTGAATACAGGGGTGGGCAAAGTAGGTTTTAAGTTCTGCCTAAGGAAAAAAACGTGGAGATTATGAGTATTACAATAGCTTTATTGACACTGTGTACCTACTTTTGCCCATATAATGTCTTAAAACTTTACTGATGTGCTGAATTGCATTAAATTAAAGACTTACATAAAGTATTTTTACCAGCCCTGACCGGTTTTGTTCAGTGGATAGTGTCGGCCTGTGGACTCAAGGGTCCCAGGTTTAATTCTGGTCAAGGGCATGTACCTTGGTTGCAGGCACATCCCCAGTAGGGGGTATGCAGGAGGCAGTTGATTGATGTTTCTCTCTCATCAATGTTTCTAATTTTTCTCTTCCTCTCTGTAAACAAATCAGTAAAATATATTTTTTTAAAGTATTTTTACCAATCCCAGTATTGGTAGATAGGTGTTTCCCAAGTTTTGGCTATTCTTAATAATGCTGCAATAAACCTTATCTGGTTTTTATTGTCTAAGGAGGAAATTGTAGTAGTCTTGGGACTGAGATGAGGAGTAGGGGTGATAGCAAGTAACTGAAGTTTAATACTTAACCCATGATCACAGAGGAAGTATCAGAATTGGGAACAAACTTGAAACATTTAAATGTTAACTAAGCCCACACTGGCAGCGCATACTTCATTTGTGTGTCTGGTGTAGACTTCATTTTAAATTTGTTTGCCTCTGTATTTCAAGAACTGAATATTCTATGCATTCTCATTTGTAAATGTTGAATGTTGATTTTATATACCATATTAAGAATCTTAACCACTTGTCAGTATTCAAACATTCTCTCACTTTGTAATTTCTTTTGTTTTATCACTTAGAAGCCTTGAATTTTGTAATCTCTTAAGTTTTTCTAATGTACACTAATATGTACTCAATAGGTGTTCATTGTATACTGTTGAGAGGTGAAGATAGGTTTCTGTATACAGTTGGGAAGCTTATAAAGAAAGGTTTTTAAAGAATATGAATAAGAAAGTAGTTTTTTTCTCTCTCAACATAGTACCTGATGATAATGGGGGTAATATCAGTCTGACCTAAACCAGTTTGTTTTCATTAAAGGTTAGAAATCTTTACAGCCTTACTTTTCTGTAAAAATGAGAGTATTTAAAAAAAATTGGCTCAACTGACTACAGTTTGCTGACCTCAGAATTGCATTTTTGGATGTAGGATAAAAACATTGATTATTTTATATTAATATTGGCCTGCACAATTGTATAGACCAATTTGGATAAATGCTCTTAAAAAGATAGAATTTTATGTTTAATTTTCATGTAAATTGTCACTTTATGACATTACTTTGAGCTACAGTGAAGTGTGGGTCCCTTAATTCTTACTCTACCTCATGACAGGTGGTTGTATGGTATGGTGGGAAAAGCAGCTTTTGGGGAGGAAAATACTTTGTTTTAAGTGCAATCCAGATTGTCCTGACCCCATGCCTCATCCCAGGCACTGTGGTTTTCAGGCAGGTCATTCAGCCTGTCCGAACCTCCATCCAGTCCTAGCCTAGGTAATGTGGCCTGGGCAGACTGCCATGGGTTTCTTTATGGCAAGGTCTCTACTTCAGCACTGTGGACATTTGGGTTGGGGGTGTAGGGACTGCCCTGTGTTTATATAAAGAGAAATGCCTTAATCCCTTCCAGTGACCCTGCACTGTGCCAGGTTTTCTCAATCCTTAGGAGGATAGTTCCTGTTTTACAAGTGGAAAAATGAGGTGAAAGTGACCAAGTTCAAAGGTCCATCAGAACATGGATCTGACAGACCAAAGCCTCTCCTCTCGGGTAACAGAATGGTAAATATTAGCATGCACTGACACAGGTGTTAAAAAAAAAATGTGAAAACTGGGAATACTCAAAATCTGGAATTGCTAAAAATACAACCCGGGGGTAGCAAGTGTGGACAAACAAGTCATGCACAGAGCCTGGTGAACAGTTTGCCCTACCCCCGCCCCAAGGCACCCTGAATTATGATACATGCAACCTCTTCTCAAAGTTGTGCATCACCTGTTCACGTGGGGGTAGAGAGGCCCAGTTGTATTTGTTTATAGCTCAAGAGCCTAGCACAGCCCTTCCTGTCCATCTGGTACTACCTAGTTCTTTCCTCATTGACCCTGCTATTTCCCTCTTGGGACCTCCAGAAGACCTCAGCTGCTGCAAAGAATGACTACATGCCGTCCAGAGTTTTGTGCCTATAGTGAATTTCAAACACCATTCCTCACAGAAACTAAAGTTCCACGACAAAGACCACTTTAGAAGAGCACAGTTGGAGATAGAAGTCCACAGGTGGCCAATCCAGTTTTGGTTTGCTTCATGGTGGCTGGGGGTGGACACAGGGCTGAGGGCCTTCACTGGCCAGTGGGAGCAGGCCTTTGAGCAGGGTCTTTCAGGCCACTGGGGCCAATTCTACTGGAGTATGTGCAGGTCATGTCCCTGAGAAGGTGCATCATTTCCCTCACTTTGTTTCAAGAGGAGGATGGGGGTGGCATAGCAGTTTTGTCAAGCAAGCAGAACAGTCACAGCCTGAGGCTGTTCTGCAGTTGGTTGGGGAGCCCTGAGCTTGTTGAAGGGAAAAGAGGGTCCCTGCTGACAGTGATAATCCCCTCCTTGGAAGCACAGATGGTGGAGCCAGGCTGTGACTTGAGTGGGGAAGGAGTGATGCCCAAGAATCATAAGGCACCCCATACCTGGTCACAACAGCCCCACTGAACCTCCTACCCAAAAGTGTACAAACATGTACACATACATCACACATCTCATGCCATGTATACCACACATACATGCATGCTCCCCCACACATAACTGCCCAGCCCCCCCTCTTCCCACTGCCCAGGCCTCCCTTGTCCCGGAAGTCGCAGAGAAACCTCCTTAAAGCCTCCTGTTAGCTCCCCTGGGGAACTCCCTGTGTGTCTCTCCTATGTAGTAAATTATTTTATTATGATCTGTTTATAGTTCTTCCATTGTGTTACTTGAGCACAAAAATAGTTTCTTTTTTCTTTTTGTTTTGTTTTGTTTTGGTGGGGGCATTTAAAGCCCAGGGAACTAGGAGGCAGAAGGTTTTTGGTGACCACAAGATCTGCCCTCACCCTGTTTCCCTGAAAACAAGACAGTGTCTTATATTAATTTTTGCTCACAAAGATGCGCTAGGTTTTATTTTCAGGGGGTGTCTTATTTTTCCATAATGAAGAATACGGTACACATTTATTGTTAAATGAAAATAAAGGAAATTTATGACCTGTATACGGTACAGTAGTACTGTAGTTGTCAACACAAACCAGACAAACTGTGAATGCTACAGTATCAAGAATTTACTCATTTATTCAATGACAATCATGTCATCATCTTCTGGAACATCATAATAATCCAATTCCTGAATTTCCTGGTGAATTTCTTGTGACTCCATTTCTTTCAGAATCAATGGAATCAGATCTCTCATGTTTAACCTGGGGGGCGGGGGGGGGCGGTGCCTTATATTTCACTCGAAGGAAACCTGTAAGTAGGTCTTATTTTCGGGGAAACAGTACCTATGCCAATCCTGACCAACCAATGGGAGGAAGCTCCACCTCTCAGTCTCTAGCCAATCAGCAGATGAGGTGTGCAGATGCTCAATCTCAGCCTCACTGCTCCCTTTTCTGTGTGTAGCCAAGGTTAGAAGGGCCTCAGTCAAGGATCATGCAATAGGTTGGTCTTGTGTCCAGAACTCAACAGGTAGCACTGCCAGTGTGGTGGGCATGGTTCCAGTCACTTCCTCCTCAAGTAAATCCCCATGGCCTCGGACAGTGGTCAGCAAACTCAGTCAACAGAGCCAAATATCAACAGTACAAGGATTGAAATTTCTTTTGAGAGCCAAATTTTTTCAACTTAAACTTCTTCTAATGCCACTTCTTCAAAATAGACTTGCCCAGGCCATGGTATTTTGTGGAAGAGCCACAGTCAGGGGGCCAAAGAGCTGCATGTGGCTCTCGAGCCGCAGT